AATCCAGTCTTACACTTAATTAGGGATTCCATAAAAGCTAAGCGGGCAATTTGGCGTCTAATGTGTAGTGGTTGGATTTTATTGAGTGTCATGATACCTGACGGAGAATCACTTCTTTTATATTTATTATAAATAAAACGAACAGCCCTCCTCTGAACCTTCTCCAATTCGTTAATGTTTTTGTTTGTGTACGGGTCCCAAACAACCGCTGCATACTCCAGTTTAGGCCTAATTATGGAATTATACGCTAAAAGCTTAACGTTACTAGGTGTACCTCGAAGTTTATGCCGTAAAAGACCAAGTTTTTTTAGCGCTGAAGAAGTTACCTGCTGAACGTGGTCGTTCCAATCTAATCTGGAGTTCAATACGATACCTAGGTATTTAAACTTACTAACCTCCTCGATTAAGGTGTTTTTAATTTTGCTTGCGTTGCCGTATTATAGGCGTATGTAATGAATGGGAGAACTAAGTCCCAGTTAGAGTGGTCAGGCGTCACATACATAGATAGGGGACCACGATAAGAGGTCTTTACAGCTGCTGAGAAGTTGCGTGAGAGGTGATATAATAGAAGCGAAGTTTCGGGCGAATCGCCGGAAATACGAACACAAGCCGATGAAACTTCGAAGTTCTTTGATGGTGGCAGGTTTAGGAAACGCCGTAACAGCTCGCGATTTCTCGGGATCCGGGAGGATGCCTTCCTTGGAAACAACGTGGCCCAAAATGTTCAGTTGATGCATGGCAAATCGACATTTTTTGAGGTTTAATTGCAAACCGGCGTTAGTTAAGCAAGTAAGGACGTGCTGAAGGCGACGTAAGTGTGTGTCAAAGTTAGGGGCGAAGACCACGATATCATCGAGGTAACACAAGCATATCTTCCATTTTAGTCCACGCAGGGTGTTGTCCATCATTCGTTCGAACGTTGCAGGTGCATTGCAAAGTCCGAAGGGCATGACGGTGAATTCATATAAGCCGTCTGGCGTGACAAAAGCGGTTTTGGGGCGATCGGCCTCCGCCATAGGCACCTGCCAGTAGCCTGACCGCAAGTCTAACGAGGAAAAGAACTCAGCACCCTGCAAACTGTCCAAAGCATCGTCAATACGCGGTAGTGGATAGACATCCTTCAGCGTGATCTTGTTCAATCGCCGGAAATCGACACAGAAACGAATAGAACCGTCTTTCTTTTTGACGAGAACCACCGGAGACGCCCATGGGCTCTGTGAAGGTCGAATGACGCCTCTTCGAAGCATGTCGTCTACTTGGTCAGCAATGACGCGGTGTTCTGTAGCGGACACGCGATATGGTCGTTGTCGCAGCGGTGAGTGGGACCCAGTGTCGATGTGGTGTTCTACTGCTAAGGCACGGCCGAGAGATGTTTGTTCAACGTCGAAAGAGTGGCGGTAGCTCTCAAGAATGGTCAGGAGTTGTGAACGCTGTGAAGATGTCAAATCTGCAGCGATGAATGGTTGAAATATGTTTGCCGACGTTGAGTCAGGCGCTGAGACGACAGCCAGTTCACAGACGGAGGTAGAAGGCACCTCATCGGGGACGGATATAATTCTGGAAGAACTGATTGTCTCGACGTGGCCAAGGCACTCGTGACAAAGTAGGGATAAAGACGACGACTCATGATTATAAATTGGCATTGTGGTTGACCCTTCTACAAGATCGAGAGCAGCAAAAGGCAGGGGGAGGGCTCTTCGGGCGACGAATATTGGAGATGGTGTGAAGAAGACCGTGCCGTCGGATATGGCGCTGCATGAAACTGGCACGAACGCAAAAGAGCATGGAGGGATGTAGGTGTCATCGCTAACGACAAGTTTAGCGGCAAACTGGGTGTCGACGGACGCTTGGTCATCCAGTGAGCAAAATTCGACCTCAGCCCTAGCACAGTCGATTACGGCGTTATGACGCGACAAAAAGTCCCATCCCAAAATATTATTATGGGAGCATGATGAAAGAACCACGAACTCTATCGTATACAGAACGTCCTGAATTGTCACGCGGGCTGTACATACTGCGGTCGGTTGAACAGGTTGAGCACTGGCTGTGAGAAGCGATAATACGGAGAAAGGCGTCGTAACCTTACGAATTGAGCAACAAAATCCAGCATCTATAACCGAAACAGCTGCACCGGTATCTACAAGAGCGACAGTAGGGATATTTTCGACGAACACATCAATAACATTGGTAGGTGACAAATGAGGACTTGGGCAAACCGAAACTTGCGCAGTTCTTGCCTCAGGAACTGCGTCGTCTAGTTTTCCTCCTCGTTAGGTGCGGGCCGTCGACGCATAGGAGAAGGCGAGCGGCGGCGTGGAGAGGGCGAGCGAAGACGTCCCGGCCGAGGGCGGTGGTCGTCCTGGTAGCGGGCTGGCATTGGAGTGAAGGAACCGTATCGCGCGTTGGAGTCAAGCGGGAAGAAAGGCTCACGGTGGTTTTCATTGGTGATATGCGTCCGGTGGCGGCAATACCTTGCGACGGGTCCGGGGTATCGACAAGCGTAACATATCGGGCGATTATCGAGGGTGCGCCACGGGTTGGCGGTGTTAGTGCTGATCCAGTGAACTGGAGGTGGGGGATAGCTCGCGCGAGGCTGGAACGGAGGCGCAGGCGCCTTGCGAGTTGGCATGGCTGCAGCCGCGGCGTAGGTGAGAGGAGCAGCCACAAGATTAGGCTCGCGAGCAGCTGGTAAGGCCTCGGCGACCTCTCCTTGAATGACGTCACGTAGAGACGATGGTAAAGTTGTGGTAGCTTCTGGTGTGAAAGGCACCAAGGAAAGCTGTCGTGCAACTTCTTCGCGGACAAATGCTTTTATTTCGGCTATTAGTGACGCGTGGTCATGACCACTGATCACACTAAACAGCGATGCCAAATCCTGCGCTGGAGGACGTCTTGTCAGAGCTCGCTGCTTCCGCAATTCATCGTAGCTTTGGCAGAGGCTAATTACGTCGTTAACAGTGGTCGGGCTTTTCGCCAAGAGCATTTGAAAAGCGTCGTCGTCAATCCCTTTGAGGTTGTGCTTACGTTTTTCAGCTTCCGTCATTTCGGCGCTCATGCGTCTGCACAAATCGACGACGTCCTCTATGTAACTTGTGAAGGTTTCACCCGTTTCTTGTGCGCGTGTGCGTAAACGTTGCTCGGCACGAAGTTTTCGGATGGCAGGTCGATCGAAGACTGCTACAATCGACGTTTTAAATTGCCGCCACGTTCGGACGTCTGCCTGGTGGTTTCTAAGCCAAAGTCTGGCTACACCCGCGAGATAGAACGAAACGCGTGTCAACTTGTCCGCGTCCGTCCATCTGTTTAAAGCGCTCACCCGTTCGAAAGTCGAGAGCCACTCTTCAACGTCGTTGTCATCTGTTCCACTGAAGATTGGAGGCTCCCGCTGAGGAACACTGCCTGGACAGGTGGCCGGAAGAGATGGAAGCGTCTGCTGATCGGCGTCCGGCATAGCAGAAGGTAGCCGTCGAGAACGGGGTTCCAGGATGGTAGCGGGAAGGTGTAAGAGACGGTACCCGGCACGGCTCCACCAATTATAAAGGAGATTTATTAAGCAGAAAAGTTGATGCTTGGAAGGCTTGGAAGGCGATGCACCAGCCGCAATTTGCGAGCTCGAGCCGCTGCTGCACACTCGATGCTGCTGCCTCTGCGCCGGAGTACTTCCTCTTCTTTACAATATGATCATCATGTTTGGACGTGTCATCTACCTTCGTCATCTTTTCACGTCAGGTTATACCAAGTTTGGTATATGTGAAGCTAGCGAAACGACCGCAAGCGCACTATGAGCATTGCATGTAGTCATGTTTTACCTAACACGCATGCCATGATTATCATGTTTCAGCGTGTCATTTACCTTAGTCGTCCGTTCACGTCACGTAATGCCAAATGTGATATTTGTGAACCTTGCAAAACGGCAACGAGCGCATCATGGTCTTGGTATGTAGTCATCGTTTGTATCTCACGCATATCATGATTATCGTGTTTGCAGCAGTCATATACCTTCTTTGTCTGTTCAAAAAAGTTTGGTATATGTGAAGCTAGCAAAATGACCGCGAGCACACCATGCGCTTGGCGCGTAGTCATGACTTACATGACGCATGTCATGATTTTCTCGTTAGGTTTTCCTAAATATGTTTGCCATGCTGTCATGTCATATCATATGAGTTTTGCAAGGTGTCATGTGAAGGTAACCACCGAGAGAGCAGCAATGCCATGAAATGTAAAACATAAAATTCATGACATACATGCAATCATTTTCATGTAGACAGACAGACCGGCAGGCAGGCAGGCAGGCAGGCAGGCAGGCAGGCAGGCAGGCAGGCAGGCAGATAGATAGATAGATAGATAGATAGATAGATAGATAGATAGATAGATAGATAGATAGATAGATAGATAGATAGATAGATAGATAGATAGATAGATAGATAGACAGACAGACAGACAGACAGACAGACAGACAGACAGACAGACAGACAGACAGATAGATAGATAGATAGAGAGATAGATAGATAGATAGATAGATAGATAGATAGATAGATAGATAGATAGATAGATAGATAGATAGATAGATAGATAGATAGATAGATAGATAGATAGATAGATAGATAGATAGATAGATAGATAGATAGATAGATAGATAGATAGATAGATAGATAGATAGATAGATAGATAGATACGCTCAACGTCACCGAAGTTGGCTGAGAAGTGCATCGCATTTGAAATATTAATACGGTAATACTGGGCTAATAACGGTAGTACTCGTTCAATTTTCGTTTTTTCAACTCTTGGTAACGAGCTTTATAACGGGCTGTGGATGCACTAGACGGTAATAAGAGAAATGCGTGAAGGAGTTCTTTGGTAAGCTTTGTGCTCTTGCTCAAAGGTTTCTTTATATAGAAGTAGTCTTACCACGTTACTCTTGCATTCCGCTTTACATTATGCAGTGTCTCTTACAATAAGGTTTTCATGTAGGCGTAAAAAAATCACTTTCTTTTTTGCAGGGCAGCCTTGGCATGACCTGCGAATGTGGAATTCCTCGCTTGTGAGACATCGCCACCCTTCGATAACCTGTTTACACTATTTCAATCTTGAAGCAAAGCATGGACGCCTAACTTATAAGCCTATATGCCAAAAACTCCTTTATCAAGTGAATCCGTATCAAAAGAAAATTCTTCAAGGGCAGAAGACGCCGCAGACATACAGGAGCACGAGCGTGTGAACTGTCGAGCATACTTCGGAAGTATGTAGCACATCAAAGCTTTCTCTAGTGGTTCACGAGAACCACTGGAGGCAGAGATGAATAACTTGTCTAGCCTGTGCTATAAATTTCCATGGGTAAAATGAACAAATCGTTGTCTGATTTCATATGTGTGGTATAATGCGCGCAGCGCTTACATAGATTGCCACAGCTTTCAAGCAGCAACACAACGTGCAACATAAATATGCTGAACCTTACAGATACGCAACCAATAAGTTTTAAATAATGTAAAAATCCACAGACAATGAAAGTACAAACTGTCGTCATATAGCTGACGTGAACGACTAGAGAATTAATATTGTTATTGCAGGGTTATATTGGTTTTAAATAAAACTTTTCGATGGTGCGGCACCATTGAAGATGTTCGTCTGTGGTTTCTCATGAGAATTCAAGCCTAGGCTGTGGCAGTGCCACCACCGAAATTGCTCATTTTTGTGCAGAAGGCTCACATAATCATCATCATCTTCTTCTTCATTGTGCCAGCTGCAAGAGAAGGCAAGCAGGTAGCTAAAGCTTTCTTTTACTTTTGAAAGTACACAAGGAATAGGACAGATATGAGGGGAGGTTACTACACTCGGTTGTGCTCCGCAACCCTCTCAATCCTACTCAGGATGACCTTCTGGATATCGGGTTTCAGGTTGCGCAAGGCAGCCTCCCACTGCTCTTCGTGATCTAATACTTTTCGGAAAGACGAAGAAGGCGGGTGTTTAGCGCACCCCCGCATTTTATGATTAAGATCTGCTTTTTTTAGGAAGAATATTTACAGGAGGACGACAGGTAAAAAGATGGGTACAGGAGGTGAAGAATATGAGAACAATAAAATTTGAGAGTCTGCAGCTGTCGCCACAGTACTTCGCACCTTCACATGGATAAGGCTAGTAGCGGCAGTAAAGTTTCATGGTTAGGGCAGTAGTGGGTTCAGGTGTCGCATAATGTAAGGAAGTGATCCGATGCACCAAAAGATGCTGTTGTAAAAACGGCGCTTGGCTCTTCCAATAAATGTGCATTGACCATAAGCCCTGGGGTGAGGCCCTGGCGTGAGCCGCTTCGTTAACGGCAAGACAAGCGTGCGCGGGAGTACATATTAAAGCGGTGTCTTGTTTCGGGGCATTGACCAGCAAAAAAGAGAGTGCTGTTTTGCACACCATACCCACTTTTGAATTATAGATAGTAATTTTTTAATCGCTGACAATAAGTAAATAATTTGTAATTGTAAAGACCAGAGCAATAGCCACTTCCTCCACCTCCTTAGAAGAAGCTCAATTATAATCAGTTGCTGTTATCTGACCTGCTGAGCTGACAACTGAGAAGTCAAAAAAAACTACGAAAACTGCACTCGGCAGCATTGACGTAGAGCCCCTTTTAGAAGTAGAAAATCGTTTTCAAGAGTTCTTGCAACGCTGTCATCGTTGTTGCTCATAGTGCACAGGGTGCATGCTTTTAGGGAGAGGAGGAATGTGTATTTTTGTGCATTTCATGCAGAATAGTACGTTTGGTATTTGTGGTTAGAGTTATCCTAATACTGAGGACATTGAGAATCTGTCTTTGACTATGTGTGTTGGAGAGACTGGAATATTGTAAGCGTCGGTGCGTTTCAAAGCGTACAAGTAAGGTGTTGAATGTACCTATCTTCATCAGCCGTGAGGCGCACGTTGGAACGGGGACTGCAAGAGCGAATTGGTAGATTTCGCGCAGCAACGTGTCTACGTCATTTTCTTCCCATTTCAGAAAGGACAGTTAAGGGAGAAAATAAGTTAGATATTGAGGACGATGGCTTGGACGAGGCGGAGGAGCTCTGCTTCTTGTAGCTCTCCATGTTTGTTATATATTCTGCATATGAGATGCGGAATGTGGTCCACGGTTGTATGAAGTGCTTGAACGGTGTTCGTGTTTAGTGGATTTCATTGTATGTGTAGTCCAAGCACCCTGAGCCTGTGAACTTTTGATAGGTGTGTATTGTTCAGTATTATTTGTATACCGGAGTAGTGCTTTTGAGAGCTCTGACGAGCAGAGACAAAGAGCCGTTTGGATTTAGTGGGTGAACAGACCGAACAGATATTACCCGCACAAAGCATCACTTGGTGAGAGGCAGTCCGCAGAGCGTCTTCAATGTAACCATCAGAGCTGCTTGTCATCAAGAGCGTATCGTCATTTGCGTTAAGCGGAAACTTGAGGTCTGGTATGGATGTTACGGTTTTAGCCAGAGGCATCATGGTGAGTTGAAAAAGGCGAAGGGCTGAATCTGATCATTCATGTGTGCCGAAACTCTCCAAGGAGCAAGAGCACGAATTTTCAGACCGAATGTGAACAGTCGCCGCACGGCTCGAAAGGAACGTATATATGTATTGTTAAGACGTTTATTGGTGGACACTTGGCGATGATGCGGGACAGCGACAGTCCATTTGAGGACCGACTCCCTGCACGAGCTGTTCCCGAAGAGGGTGAGCCACTAGAAGGCGCTGGAGAGGACAACCCACTGTTCGAAGCCTTCGGTACAACTACACCGGGTACGAAAAGGGAGCTGCCGGGCGACCTAACAGCTGGTTACTATGAGCGGGTCATGGTAGGCCTTGAGGTGCTCCACGTTGAAAATGTCGCGCCCTCGATGGCAGATGTCCGAAGATGATTTCATGGGTTCGATCATGTAGCTTAAAGGGGAAGCATCTTTGACGACACGGTAGGAACTTCGTCTTTGGGCAACAGTTTCGAAGATAGACTAGTTGCAGTGGTAGGGGTCGAGAGCCAGACGAGTGCTCCAGGGAGGAACGTGGGCGCATTAGTGCTGGCGTCTGCGCGAATGCTCTTCTGTCGCTCTTGATCATGCGCAGTAAAGGTCTTTGCAAGCTCTCAACACTCTTCACCAAGCTTGGCTGTAGCAGTAATAGGCGTGCACTCAGATGGATCAGGCTTGGATGGAAGTATTGTGTCGATAGTGTGTGACGGGGGCCTCCCATATAACAAAAATATAGGTTAAAAGCCAGTAGGGCTCTGAGGGATGGTGTTATATGTGTTGGTTAAGAACGGTAGAATGACATCCCAATTTGTGTAATCGGCGATGACGTACTTGGAGGGCATGTCGCCAAGCCTACGGTTGAAGCGTTTGGTGTGGCCTTTCGTCTGTGGGTGGTAAGCAAGTGCTTTGCGGTGAACAACGTGGCACTCTTTGAGAATGGCTTCGACGACTTTGGACAGGAAGACACGGCCTCTATCACTGAGCAGTTCTTGGGGTAGACCATGTCGCAGCATGAATCCCTTGAGCAGGAAGGAGGCCACATCACTCGCTCTAGCCGCGGGAAGAGCGGCAGTTTTGGCGTATTGTGTGAGGTAGTCTAAGCGACGATGGCCCAGCGGTTACCAGCCGACATTAGTGGAAGTGGCCCATACAAATCGATGCCGACGCGCCCAAATGGCCTGGCAGAGGAAGGTAGAGTCTGCAGACCTACCGGTGACAGGCGCGTTAAAGACGCTGACAATCTGTGCAGGAGCGAACGAATATCTGCACGTAGCGGTACATGCCACACCAAAAGTAGCGTTGGCCAATGCGGTGGTAAGTCTTCGATACCCTTGAGTGCGCACATTGCAGATCAGAATGAAATGATGCGCATATGTCAGCGCGCAGACTGCGTGGTATGACTAGTAGCCAGTGGCGGCCGTCAACGTTGTGATTGCGTCGGTGGAGGAGGTCGTCGAAAACGGCGGAATGGTGGGCTTGACGACGCAATGCGCGAGTGGATGAATTGGATGGATCAGTCAGAAAGTCTATCAGTGAGGCAATCTATTGGTCCTTGTGCTGTTCAGTATGCGATGGTATGAATGTTGATGGAAGAAACGGGAAGGTGATCTGCTGAGTTTAGGGCATTGTGGTCAGGCAAGGAAGAGCGTGGCAGAGCGTCAGCGTCAGCATGTTGTCTTTCGTTGCGGTATAGCACGCGGATGTTGTAGTCTTGTAGGCTATGTGCCCAACGGGTGAGATGGCCTGAGGGATCCTTCCATGATGACCACCAGCATAGTGCCTGATGGTCGGTGACATCAAATGGGTGACCATACAAATAAGGTCGGAACTTCGTCAGGGCCCAGACGATTGCCAGACATTCTTTCTCAGTCATGGTGTAATTAGTCTGAGCTTTTTTAAGCGTACGGATTGCATACGCCACGACATATTTCGGGAACCCTGGTTTGCGCTGCGCAATCACAGCAACGAGGCTGACACCTATGGCCTCCATGTGTACCTCCGTAGGGGCAGTAGGGTCGTAGTGGTGGAGTATGGGACGCGCCGTCAACAAACGAAGGAGCGTTGTGAAAGCGTCATCGCACTATGGTGACCATGAATAGAGAGGCCCACTACTTCAGAGGAGCTTCGTCAGCGGCGATATCATAGTCACGAAGTTCCGGATGAAGCGCCGAATGTAGGAACACAGTCCTACGGAACTGCACAGCTCCTTGACGGATGTCGGCTTGGGGAACTTGGTCACGGACCGAAGCTTGGCTGCATCAGGAAGAATTCCGTCCTTGGACATGACGTAGCCGAGTAATGTCAATTGCCGAGCTGCAAATGGGCACTTTTTGGGGTTCAGCTGCAGACTGGCGTCACTCAGACGCGTCAAAACATGCCACGGTCGTTGAAGATGCGTGAAGTCCGGAGCAAAAACGACGACATCATCAAGGTAGCACATGCCCATGTGCCATTTCAGGTCGCACAGAACGGTATCTATCATGCGCTCAAAGGTGGCAGGTGGGTGCATTGCACAGCCCAAACGGCATGACGTTGAATTTGAAAGCCGTCAGGGGTGACAAAAGCGGTCTTCGCTCCAGCGTCCTCAGCCATAGGCATTTCCCAGTAATCTGAGCGCAAATCTAGGAATAAAAAGAATTCGGCTCTTTGCTGGCTGCCCATCACGTCATCTATCCGCGGTAGTGGGTACACGTCCTTACGAGTGATCTTGTTGAGGCGTCGGCAGTCCACACAGAACTGCACAGAACCATCCTTCTTCGTGACGAGAACGACAGGAGACGCTGTTAAAGGGTCAAATAACATCGCAGCTAAGCAAGTCGTCGACTTGCTCGATCATTACACGGTGTCCTGTGGGAGATACGCGATATGGACTGCCGCAGTGGTGGTTGTGCGCCTGTGTCGATGCGATGCGCAACGTTATATGTGCTGCCGAGACAAGGGTGAGCGACATTGAAAGAAAAGCGGAATTTTTCCAACAGATCCAGAACCTCGGAAGGTTGGCCCGGCATAAGGTTGTT